CTTCGCTCTCAGTAATCCCTTGTGTCTTAGTGACATTATTGCTTTGCTTGGGGTGAAGAAACAATTTTATTAACAATAGAAAACTATCTGACATTCTGCGTATTTTTTTTTTGTTTTTACAAAACAAAGTGATATATTTACTTTTAAAATGAATTAACTTAAGGCAAACTGATTTTTTGTTTTTACAGTATAGAAATAATTTCCAAGTAAGTCTAAAACTATTAAAATTTGTGATTAGAATTATTAATGTTAAAAAGTCAGTCAGTGAGTTAAGTGCCATACATAATACACATTTGGCAATCATGTCTCTTTCAATTTATGACTGACTAGGCAGAAGATTTTCCCACAATAGGTTGCCATTTCTTTCTGCGATAGACTGGTTGCCAACCAAGGCTATAGAACCCAATCTGTCCTGCTATTCAACCCAAACCTGGAGGAGAATAAATGGATTCATACCTATCCCAAAGGTATTTGTGCATAAGTGAATTTAACAAACTCAATTGGAATTCAAACTTGGCTCTCCAATTTCTCATTCTGAGTCAAAAGTATTTTTCTGAAAAAAGAATATGCATTTTGTCTTTTACATAGATCATTAAAATTATTTGTAAATATATTATCAAATTTGTCACTATCATTCACTTTCAGTTTTTACTTACCTAAACTTACAGCTAGCAATAAGAATATTTCATGTATGTACCAGAATTTCTTCTCATAGCAGACATCTTACAAGTGTTCACTCATCATGAAATATCTTTCAGGAAACAGCTTGAATAACACATAAGAAAAAAAATGGCCTAGTTCAACTTGAACAGGAAATACAAAACAGTTTTCAGGCTAAGACCATTAATGGCAATAGTTTATTTAAAACTGTTTCTTTTTTTTTAATCATTTCATCCCAAGCAAGGCAACATGGTCACTGATATGCAGGAGGTTAGTGGGTGTGAAAGAATATAAGAAAAACATTAAAGAGTGAGAACTATAAAAGAACAGAATTTAAATGGACAGAAGATAATGATTGATATTGTATTTACAATTTTGAAGATCACACTTAATTGGGAAAAGAAGCCACAAGAGAGTTCCACAAGTGAGAAAAGAAATAGAGCTTATTGTTACATCTAGCCTTTTTAACTATAAAATGATGAAAGCTTGCCGTCAATCTAGTAATGCCATTTAATTCATAGAGCCAAGGTACTATAGAGATGAGTTCATCAGAACATTTAACATGAAAGTATTTATAGAAAAAGCATAGGGAATATACGTTACAGCAGTGGGAAAGTGAGTGAAGATGAGGTGCCTGGTCAGGACCAATAACAGATTCTTCTTTGGATTTTATCAAGAACGTCTAGATATGTAGCAGGAGCACCAGATCATATGTGGCAGCAATATTCTAAGCAAGAACAAATGGTAGACTTGTATATATGTAAGATGGATTCTGGTAAGAAAAATTGTCTAGCATAACAGTTTTATAAAAATTTAATAAGTATATTGTTAAGGTAAAGATGAAAAGTATAGGGTTGGAACAAAAGTAAGTAGTGGTTTTAAGTAAATTTCAAGCACAACAGTTAGATATTTGTTCATAGGAGTAAATAGTGTCAGCTATTGTCTGGTTAATACACTTCCCCAGTGTTTTGAACAGGAGTAGAGCTTTATCCCTTGTTTCGTCTTTAGGATTGTCTTTCACTCCCAGTAACCCCATGCATCTTAGTGATATTATCACCTTGCTTGGGGTGAATTAATAAATAAAAAAATATTTATTCAATCACATATATGCAATTTTGTTCCACTACCTTTCACCATTTTTGAGCCAGCTTTATGATACCATGCTCCAAGAACTTGTTTTTGTGCGATGAATTGGTCTAAGCAGTTTTTGCAGTTTTCCAGAGAATTAAAGTTCTTCCCATTAAGAGATTTTTGTAAGGATTGAAATAAGTGGTCATCCAAAAGGTGCAAGCTTAGGGGAATATGGTAGGTAAAGTAGGAAGCTGAATTGTATTGATTTCAAACAAGGTCTGCAAAGAGATGTGAACTTTGGCATTATCCTGATGAAAAACAACACCTTTCAAATTGGCAAATTCTGGATACTTTTCATTGCTGTCTTTAATTACTTCAACTGGGAACAGGTGTTGTCTGAAGTTAACATCGGATTCTGAAGAAGGAACTTGTTATACACAATGCCTTTCCAATCTCACCAGACACACATCACTGTCTTCTTTAAATGCAGATTGGCTTTTGGAGTGCTTAACAGTGACTCATTTTGTTTTTCCCAGAAATATTTTTCAATCCATTTTGTTGCAAACACTCCATTTTGCATCTATCTTGATCATTCTTTGCAAAAATACTTTTGTTTTTGTTGCATTTGAGCAGCAGATCACAGATTTAAATGTAGCTTATTAAATTCTTTTGTTAAATCATGAAATACTCAAACATCATAGCAATTCACATTTCCAAGTGTTTTCAAATGCCTTACAATGCTCACATGAGATATATGGAGTATCTCTTCAATGTCCCATGTCATATAACTTGGATTATACTTCATCAGCATTTTAATTGGCTCATCATCAACAATTCCAGGCCTGTGTGAATGTTTTTGGGCTCCCCATTATAATTTAAAAAGATTTTTTGGTATATAGTCTAGCCAATTTCATTTAGTGAATCCATTTTGTGTATTTATAAGTCTACCATTCATATAACCATATAAGTTTCCTTTCATATGAAGTGTTACTTTAACCCCCCCCCAAAGAAAAAGAAAACAAAATATCAAACATATTCGTTGGCCATAGGAATTATGATCAGAAACGTTTCTTGATTTCTTTTCCCACCACTACCACCATTTCTTCTTTCCATTTCTTTCTTTTTACACTCCCCCTCTCTCCCCTCCCAACTAGGAAAGCAAAAAAAACAAAAAAAAAAAAACAGTTAGGAACACCAAGATGGCATTGTTGAAAAAGGTGAAGAAAAAAAAAAGTAAAAAATCCTCCCCCCAAACAGTGACTTTGGTCATCCCTCTACATATCCCTTTTCCTTCCTTCCCAACTGCTCCTCAACGCCCACCAATCTCCGTCGTAGAGTTCCGTCAAACAGATCTTTTAAACCATAGCCATTTTGAGGCTTTTTCTGCAGCTTCTGAGAGAGACCTGATGGCCTTTCTCTTTTTTACTCCCCTGACTCCAAGCTGACTTAGAGCACAGCATACAGATCTTCCTATATTTCTAAAGAGTTAATAGATTTTTATTTTTAATCCAACATATTTTTGTTACTTCAAGTGTTATTCTTAATGGATACCATATTTGAGTAGAACATCCTGTTTTTTTAAACAGTTTTAATTTTGTCTACTGCCCTGCACATTTTAAGAAACTTAATAAAGAAATACACAGGCCAGTTGACAAAATAAACAGTTTAAAAAAATGCAACATTGTACTCAAATATGGGTATCCACTAAAAAAAATACACACACACACGTACGCACACATACACACATATATATTCATGACAATTTTATCTCTATGATCTCTGATTCACCTGATTTCTTTGCAATGGATCTAAAAGAAGAAATATCAACAGATTGATTGTAGAAAACCTCCATATGATTTGGGATTCTACTTTAAGTACTATTCCTTATTCTAAATTACTGCAGTTTGGGGAATAAATTGATGGTATAAAAAAAACAAAAGAAAGTTGGGGAGGGCAATAAAATATCATATTTTTGGTTCTATCATGGTGATAATTTAGGGTTAGCCTACTGACAGAAGTACTGGAAATATAAGTAATATACGGAGTTATTCCCAATTTGGAGATGGTAATTTTAATGTTAATATTATCTGTTTCCTTATAAGGAAACATTTGGCATGCTTCTCTCAAAAAACAATTTTTCAGGAAAATCGGTTTCTCAAGTCCAGTAGCTGTTATTGCTCTTTCTTTGATGGGGGTTTCATTTCAAACATTTTATTTGAAGTAGTGAGGAATGTCAACATCATTTTCTGTTTGAGTTACATGTGCTATTCATTTTAGTTGTTGTTGTTTTTGAAAGTCCTCAAATGATATGGTTTCTGTTATTTACTACAGTTCTTTATTTGTGAGTCTGCAACACTATTCCACAACGTTCAAAGAAGGATACTAAATTTGTTATAACTAATCCATATGCCAAGGTATTTCAAATGGTTTGTATTTATTTATTTTATTTTTTAATCAAATTCACACAAAGCAAGGCAGTAAAGCTACTAAGACACAAGAGGTTACTGAGTGTAAAAGAATTAGAAAACATGAAGGAGCAAGAACAATAGAAGAATAATCAGGAAGACAGTAGATAATGACTGACATTGGATTTATATTTCTAAAGATCAATGTTGGCTGGAAAGAATGAAGCCAAAAGGCGAGAAGTGCAAGAAAAGAAATTGTTAGCATAAAACTTATAGTTACATTTAGTCAGCTCAACTGTAAATTTGTTGAGACCTTGTTGTCAATCTAGTACTGCCCTTAAATTCATAAAGTCTAGGTGACATGGTGAAGAGATCATCCAAACAATTACCATGAAAATATTCATAGAAAAGGCACAGGAAAGCAAATTTACAGTGGTGGGAAAGTGATTGAAGCCAAGATGCAAGGTCAGGATCAATAATATTGCCGATTCTACTTATTGCACATCATGAATTTTTATGATAGAGTCAGAATAGGGGCCATCACTGCTTCCATTCCAATTCCAAATCATAGTTTATGTTTTGGAAAGGTTTATTTTCAGTCATATTTCTTGGAACACTTGGTACTTTTCATTTTCTGCTTCTACAACTCATAATGTGATAATTTTTATAGTTCTTAAATTAAGCCATTTTTTTTTTTTTTTTTTTTTACAAAATCACCAAGATATCAAATAAAGAGAATCTGTTATGGTTTGGAGTGGAACTCACACACACACATCCTGTTCATCAGAATGGTCTCTTGACGACTTTGGAATTATAGTGGAATATATAATAAAACAAACAAAAAAAAACAATGTTGATGTTTACCTCATTCTCAAACCTCTTCCCCTGCTCCAGTTCTCTTGGGTAGCCATCAATGAGAAAACCTTTACTCTCAGCAGCACGTTTAATCATGGCAGTCTTCAAAAGATCCAGTACAGTGTCCTGAAAAAGACAAAAAAAGAACATTAAATTTTGTGCACATATCATTACTTACATATATTCTGTCTTTCCAAGAGTCAGATCTGACCAAAAATTAAGTATTGCTGCCATATCTGGGCTGGGGTTGCCCTATCCTCACTTTCAAGCCTTGACAGTCCAAAATCTTTTATGTGGCCTTGTAGGAGGATGACTTATTTTCTACCCTACAGCTCCTTTCTTCACAGATGAAACATTGCAAGCCTATCACTACTCTGTCGCTATTTCCTTGTCAAATGTTCAGACAAGTTACATTCCTTAGTTCCAAAATTTCAGATCTTTACATGCTACATCCACAGAGTTGATTCAATTTCATTCTCTTATTCATATTCCATTTGTAAGAAGGAAGTTCCACTTAGGCAGCTTCTTTTCAAAAATTGATTCTTTGCAGAAAAAAAAAACATGTAGGTGCTACTTCAAACACTGCAATCTTAACCTATTCAAGTCTAGAACAAATTGTTACATATCTGCCATATGCTCAATCTTCACTTCCTACTTTCTTCTTTTGCATCAATACCAAACAAGCTCTTTCAGTAAGCATTTACAGAGAGAGACTCCTGGGCCTTGTACTGACTGAACTTTAGTAAAAAGGCTATTGGTTCCAATCCTGACTAGGAATGACTGCAAAACACTTGCTCCTGCCCTATTTATGGGTAAAAGCACACAAATGCATGCTGGGATTTCTTCCTAGACAATAAAATAGTCCAGTTCTCAGTTTCATCTGACTCATTCCTAGTCTGTCTTGTTTTGAAGTCAGATCGCTATGTTTGCTTGTCTGAACTTGCTTTTGTGTGTCATGCTAATTCTTAGTTTGTGAACTTTTTTGCCATATTACTGTTGCTTTGCTTTATTACTGTTAATTTGCCTTGCATATATTGTTTGCCTGCTTTATATTATTTTTGCCCTATTCTTTTTCTTGTTATTGTTTATTGCAAACTTTGTCAATTTTGTTTGTTGGACAGGTCTGTCATTTATTTTACAATTGACCATGGCTACTCACTCTACAAAGGAGAAAAGAACTTTAGTTAAAAGTATCCAAAATAAGTGAAAGAAAAACATATTTGCAAAAAAAAAATGTATAAATAGAAAAAGCAGCATTTACATGATTCCAACATTGTTTTGACTCAAAGAAATTTACAAGTTATTCAAATTTGCAGAATAAATGCTCACAATACAACAAACTTAATTATTTCATCAACTTTTTATCATATTATTTACTTAACCCATTTATCAGGGATTAAACTTTGTTGGAATCCAAACTAAGAGTCTGTTCTTCCACTCTTTGACAGATTTTATTTTTCGTCCTACAGGGTTGCTAACAACCCACCTTACATCCAGCAAAAAGGGGTGAGGGTTTGGCTTGCTTTGTTTAATGGCATATCAACTCCTTATTTAATGCCAAAATTTTATTTTTTGTAAAAATGTATTGCTAGTAATTTTTTGTAATGTATTTTGGGGGTTCACTCTTTGCCCATAGCTGGGATCATAACAGGTGGTACCATGCTGGGTGATGGTGGAACTGAGAGCAACAGCAATTAAGAGGTGGTTCCACATTCACCAAAACCTCCTGATCAGAGGCCTTACTGCCAAATGTAGTTTATGAGGGGCAAGGGAGCAAGTTTAGTTGCTAACTACCCACCACACACACAAAATGAAAAATTTGATTGTAAGTTTTAGTTTAGACAAAGTTCTTACCTATTTTTTTTTTACCTTAAGAAATTTAAGAGCAGAATTCTCCCCTTACTTTGGCCATTGAGGCAATTGTGAAGAGGAAGAAGAAAAAACATACACCCACCTGCATTTGCTTTCGTAGATGTCAAAACGTTAGACTGACAATGAAAGAACTAGAAGTTATTAGAAACTATTACGATTTAAAAGTCAATTTTTTTAGGTGGGGATCCTAAACAAAACAAATTAATAAAATATAGTCTCACATTTTACCAATGGGAAGGACTTTTACCAACAAAGAATAGGAAGCCGTGGAGAGACATGACTGCACATGTCCAGAACAGAAAAAACACAAAGGAAGAACAGTACCAGTAATAGAGTGCAGGAAAAGTATCATTTTATTGTACAATGCTAGCAATATCATCTAAAAACATTTTTTTTTAAACAAATTTGAACTGTTAGGTAAATTTCATTTATTTGGGAAAGGTAAAACTCCCAAAACATATACTATGAATTGGAAAAATCAACATCAATCAAGCACGTATGAAAATTTTCCACAAAAATGAAGGTAATAGGTGATCATGGGTCTCGATATCTTTCTATCCTTCATAGCTCTTAGCAGTGTTTGTCTTTTTATTATTCTTCTAAATCTTTGTCCTGCCATTCATTAACATGAGCTTGTTAGGTAGGTTACTCAGTTTACTTTTATCTCTCTTGCCATCAATCTGTCTTATGAGTATTTTCCCAGCCCTCTTTCCTCATTAAGTGCCATAGAAATTTCTGATGTTAAATATAAGTGTCCTTTTTGTTTCCATTTTCATTAGAGCTTCATTTTGATTACATGTTCAGTCCATGATATTCCCAGCATCCTTCTGTAGAAATATTTCTGTTGTTTCAAGTCTCTTCTTCATCTGTGATGAGATTGTATGGCATTCACAGGACTGATATTTCTAACAAAAGTTTCCTGTCTCTTAATACTTTGCTTAGCTTTTTGGAAAGCAACTTTCACTATCTCAATACATCTTCAGATTTCAATGTTGCACTTACCCTCCTCTGCTAAAATGCTTCCCAGATATTTAAATTTTGTACTTCCTTGATTTTGGTATCTTCAATTTGTAATTTGCATGTTGGACTGTTCCTTTTGCTGACATCCACACATTCTATCTTCTTGCAATTAATGTTTGGTCCTTTCTTTTCATTTTCATTCACTACCTTCTGTAGAAGTTTCTGTAGTTTCCTTTCTATGGCTGCTATTAATACTGTGCCATCTGCATATTTAATGTTGTTAAGACTGTTGCCGCCAATAATAAATCCTGGTAGGACTTTGAATTCTTTATAGGTAAATTCATAAAAAATACTTTGATAACTGAATAATTATGCTATGTATTTACTTAGATAAAACATTTTGGGAAATGTTTTACCTTCATTCCTGCAACAAAAAAAATGGCATGTCAAAAGAATTATTAGAATTATAATAAAAACTAAACATATGATGAAAGTGAATTTATACAATTTTTGTTCTTGAGAATTTACAACCAAAATAATAAACTCTTTATTTATTGGATTGTTTATTTACAAGAATAGATTTATGTTTACAAGATTCTAAAAGCCAATGCAACTGCATTAAAACTAATACAATGTAATATTTATCATTTACCAATTTATAAAGAAATAAATATTAAAACAATATTTCATTCATAAACTTATAAACACTTACTAAATTATTAAAAAATATATGAACCATCTTCAAGGAAATCCTTATTATTTACCATTTTATAAATTCTGAATCAATTGGCAATTAGCTGATGTTTTACAAACCATTTCTTAAAAAACCTAATGAATAAATAGTGTAAATAAACAATCTAATAAATAAATAGATTTTATTATTTTTGTTGTTGATTCTCAAGAACAAAGAAAATATATAAATTCACTTTTAAACATTTAGGTTTTATTAAAATTCAAATCTTTTTTTTTTTTAAAAAAAGCAAATATTAACCATGAGTGAAGTTAGTTAAAATAATAGCAGTATCAAGGGAAAAACCATCCTTTTGACACACCATTTTTTGCAGACATGAAGGTTAAATATTGCCACATTTAGTTTCTCAACCAATAAAAGAAACTTTTGCATCAATGGTCTTCACTTAAGATTAATTTTTTTCACAATTACAACTATTTTAACTCCTTTTCTTTTATCTTGTAACTGAAATTTTCTTGTCTTGATCTATTTTGATTATTAAGCTACTTTATATGATTTTTTTAAGTATTTTATTTGTTGACATATAAGATTCTCAACATTTACATTTAATATTACATTATTATGGAGTTACATTAAGTACAAGTATTGGTCATTTACAGGATCTGGGTAAATATTAGCTTACTAAATAGCTTAACTTCCCATATGATATATGGAAGGTATTTTGGAGTCATTTTGGGAGAAAAAATAAAGGTTCATATGTTATCATATGGAAGAACATTTCAGAATTGTTACTTTAATGAGTTAAGACAGTCTATGAAAAACAAACACTCAAAGAATATGTGTATCAGCCGTGTCCAAAGTCCCTTTTTGTGAATTCTTGCAAAACTTAGTTCAAGTACCAAAGAATCAGTGATATGTCCCTGATTTTGGGTAAATAATATCTCACTTATACTTTTCTTCTTCTATATGCTTTGTCCCTTCAGGACATTGGCGATTATGCCTTTCCACAATTTACTCTTAGTAAATTTTATCTTTTTGTTATCTCTCCTAAACCCTGTGCTGCCATCCATTTACCCAAGCTCGTTAGGTAGATTATGCACTGTTTTTTCCACTGTCTCTCTTGCCTTCAATATGTCCCGTGAGTGCCAAATTTTTAGAATTTTAAGACAGTAAATTTTCTCTCTCTCTTAATTCCTGACTTCTGCCCACATCACATGCATCCAACTTTTCTAATTTTCTTGCTCTGGGTCATTGGAAGCTCACATCCACTCCTAACATCCAATGTCTTTCTAAAGCCACCTTATTCCACTTTGGACCTGACATTTAGAATTAGGTCAGAACATTTTTATTATTTAACTTTTCTTTTTATGCCTTATTTAATTGGCCAATTTTCTTTGTCAGTTGATGAATACTTCCTCCAACTTGATCTTAGAATGTCATAAGAGTTTCCTTATATGGATGAATAAAAATCTTGAATAAAAATTAATAACCTAGTGAAATTTTTTCCAATCTTTATTCCTCATTTCAATTTTAAGTCCCATTAAATTAAGCAGTGTCTATTTCCATTATAAGTGCAACACGGACATTTATTTTTCTCTTGGGATTGGCTGGGTAGAATGTTGAAGCTTTTAGCAGAGTAATTTTCTATCAAACAAGTAGTATGTGTCTCAGCCCAGACCCAAAGCTATTCTCACACACTGGTTAACATTAATTTGACAAAGTTCAAAGTTGAATAGAATATAATGTTAAATACAACAGCTTCATTTTCATGTATTGACTTTCATTGCTAGAATACTTGATTACGAATATGTAACCAGCCCAAATACAGTTTTCTACTGCTAGCTTGTAAAGTCAAAGGTAGCTTAAGAGGAGGCATTCTATAATAATCAAGGCGGCTTAAGAGGAGGCATACATAATAATCAAGGGGGAGTTAGTTGGCTAGATTTAAGGGGGTGATCTGGTTGCAGAATTGTCTGATAGCCATGATTGGGTTTTTCCTGATTGTGTGGCATAATGCAGAGTCCTGTTGCCAGACCTAGAGTCTTCCAGCAACCAGCCTCTTGACCCAGGACAGCACTAACTACTCAAGGTACTTGATGTAGGCCTCTGTGTTGAGTTTGAGACCCTTTGAGAAGATGAATAGAGGCATAATGTTGCCATCACTAGTGATCACTCCAAACACCATGGCATCCAACTTTTTCTGAATCCTCTGCATTGTCCTCTGAATGACACCCAAACACTCTAAAATGTTTGTATTTGAATTTCCAGCATGAATGCCAAGCAGTAAAGCATGTGGTTTCCAAATTTCTGGCAGAATGAATTACATCATTGTGCTCTTTTTCTCACCGATGGTGCCCAACTGACGGTACTATACTGTGTAGTCAACAAAATCAAAATAAACAACACATATGCATGAAATGAAAAATATAAAATGGCGACAATTTACCCATCGCACCCTGTATAACATTTAAATAACTAGTAAAAGTTTTCACGTGTAATTATACTTTTAATAAATTATCCCTACTTTGGCCTCATCGTGTATATTCCAACCAATATCTTTATACACACTCTACACAAAAGACATACAATTGAACCCTGTTTTTTTTTTATACACACTCATAACAGATATTTCTGTTTGAATTTCCCACAAGATTAAAGCATTAGTTCATGGATCTGGTTACATAGTTATTGTGAGTTCAATCCCTGGGCTGGAAAGTACAGACTTAGACTCAGCGGAAACAGGACAAGCAATAACTGGTCAGTACTAAATAAAGAACACAATGAGATATCCCTTGACATGGACCTGTGGAATAGAACCGATAGATTAAATAAAAGGTTTACTTCAAAATTCCCTGAAGTTTACCTGGATTAAAAGACACCTGAAGAAGGTCAGAGAAATTAACAATTGAAATGTTTTAATAACAACAACATTAGCCCCCCCAGATATAAATATTCTTGTTAAGTGTAAAACTTTTTTTTTTTGTCATTTCCTGTTTTGGCCCTTATACACTCAACAACATAATTAGAATTTGTAATCAGACACATTGATTTATTAATTATCATCACTGAACTAAATTATACTTGGTATCATGATTTTTCATTATCTTTGGGACTACTATATCCTATAGCAGGAATTAACCTCAGAAGTTCATATCAATGTAATACATCAATATTAAACATGGTTCAATGAAAGCAGAACACCTAGTTTGGTTATGTGATTTATGTATATGTGTGAATACATTTTTTTGACTATGAAAACCATAAGTAGAAAGCAACCAAAAGAGAGCAAACTAGCAAAGAGGAAAAAATGGAATTAGATTTTACTTGTGCTTTATTGACAGAACTGTGAGCAATGACAAAGTTTTAGAGAAAATTGAAATAAAAATGTCACTCATACTTCACATCAAGAAGAAACTGCTGAAATTTCTAGGGCTCATGAGGAAAGAGGGCTTGGAAAATTTGATACTCACAGGACAGTTTTCTCAGACGTTACTGATAAGCGTTATATATCTCAAAATTTCAGGTAATATTTTGTTGATTGATTGTTTCATTCATTTTGTATGGTTTATCAACTCTTTGCAGGTTATTTAAAGCAAGAAAATTTGAAGGCAATTGGGACAGAGGAAAACAACATATAACCTATCTAGTTATCTTGAGAAAATGGATTGTGGAACAAGGTCTGGGAGAAATAACAAAAAGTCAAAATTTACTAAGAGCTACAAAGAACAGGAAATTGTGAAGAGCCATGATTGCCAACATCCTGAAAGGACATGGCACATAAAAGAAAAAAAAGGAGCAAACACTGTTTAAAGCTAAAAATGGTAGGAAGCTGTGGAGAGTCATTATTGTCCACATCCTGAAGGGACATGATACATAGAAAAAGCTGAAGATACTATGTTGGTTTTTAGCGTGATTAATGGAAGTGAGAGCAATTGTTTTGGCTATCAAGCATTTACACCTCAACTAAAGATGGTATAGAAATATTATTAAAATAAAGTACGCACCATTGACACAAGCTGGCCTGACTCCATGATGGCTGTGAGTTCCTTTCCCTTGGTAGACCCTGATGCCACTTCCTCCCGTAACAGATCTCCAGAAGACAGATGAGTAAATCCATACTTCTCTACAATTTTGGCACATTGAGTACCTTTGCCGCTACCAGGACCACCTGTTAATAAGTGAAAAGAAAACTTTGCATCAGTTCTCATGCAAAACAAAGAAAAAAATGAAAAGGTACTGACCAGGCTCAATGTTGCATTATTGCCTTGCTTGGGGTGAATTGATTTTTTTAAAAAAAAATCGTTATCTTCTGTTTTTCTGAAACCTGTTCTTTTATTGTCCTTTCTTCTCACTAAAGCCTTTTCATTCTCTTTCACTACTGGTAGCTATTTGTGCCTTAGTGGCATTATCACCTTGCTTAGAGTGAACTGATTAAAAAAAAAAAAACATTTTTGATTTTCTTCAGTTCTAAGGTTCACCCAGTCATTTCCTTGGGTTCTTCCTTTTTCTAAGAAAAAGATAAGTCATTGATACTCCTGATGTAATGGTAAATGAAATATGCCATTAACAGCAGGAAATATCAGAAGTTTGAATTGAACTTCATGTCAAACAGGGAACTTTGATTTAAAAGGATCTGTGATGACCTCAATATGTACTACATTCACCCTAAGAGATACCAAAATTAAACCTTCCACAGAATATTAAAAAAGCTAAGTACTTCAGAGGGTTGAACTAAGCAATGACTTTATAGCCACCAAAGACAGAATTGGGTCTCAAATGATGTTGGTGGATTTCCCAACACAAACAGGAAGTCAACCCATCTGAACTTTGGATATGCATAAACACACACAAACAACAGGAAATAATAGAAACACCTGATTCAAGAATAGGGAAAGTAGAATTCCTCACATCTTCACAAGAAGATTGAACTTTCAAAGAAACTCCATGAAAAAGCAGATGTTCTCGGCTTATCAGACATTAGTTTGATGAAGAACACAAGTGAATAAATATCTATTTTACATATAAAAAAAATTAGTCTTGTATTTTTATCAGACGTTACTGATAAGCATTATATATCTCAAAATTTCAGGTAATATTTTGTTGATTGTTTCATTCATTTTGTATGGTTTATCAACTCTTTGCAGGTTATTTAAAGCAAGAAAATTTGTTTTAGTGATTTCACTCCAATAAAGCCACTAAAATGCAAAGGGTTATTGAGTGGTAGAGAATATGAGAGAAAAATACTATTAAGGAGAGAGAACAAGAAAAGAACAAGAATTAAAAAGACAGAAGATAACATGCTGACTAGGAAGCAAGAAGCCAGAAGAGAGTTCCACAAGTGTGATAGAAGAAACTGTTAGCATAGAACTTACGGTTACATTTAGCCATTTCAATTGTAAAATGATGAGACCTTGCTACCAAACTGGTATTGTTCTTAAATTCAGATATTTTAGGTAGTATAAAGGAAAGTTCATAACAATATTTCCCATGAAAGGCACAGTGAAACTGCATTACAGTGGTGGGAAAGTGACTGAAGCTGAGATGACAGGTCAGGACCAATAACATTACAGATTCTTCTAGGGATTTTATCAAGAATCTCTGAATATAGAGCAGAAGCACTGGACTATATCTGGTAGCAATATTTAAAGCAAGTACGAATGGTAGACTTATAAATATGTAAGACAAATTCTTTTGAAAAAAATTGTCTAGCACAACACAGTCAACCAACTTTCCTCACAGCAGACCCAGCAATTGATTCAATATAATCTTTCCACTTCATGTCAACAGAATACATTAGTCCGTGAAGGCACAATGAGCCACTCTCCTGGAGGTTAACATTAGGCATGCTGATAAAAGGTAAAAAGGGTTCAAATACCCTTGGTAAATGTATGAATCCATCTCATCTCCCTCCCCCAAGCTAGGGGGGGGGAGAGAAGAGATGGTCCTATAGCCTTAGGTTGTAACTGGGCTAGAAGGAAAAATCTGAATTTAAAATTTCTACCTCTGCCAAACAGATATGTAATCCAAAACAAATGCCTGTTGTATGCACCGCCATCTTTTATCAACTACTAGCAGCATGGCCCAGTGTTGCCCGTGCTTGATTCAAAAATCGTACAACTCATACAGCAATCGCTATCACTTGACTTAAAATATTTTTGCCCTTCCTTGCCTTTAAAGAAGTGCCCTTTGCTTTGCTGATGTTCCTACATGCCTTACTTCTTGCCTATCTCACACTGCAAATTTTTTTAAGCTCTATACTAAACATTAAATCTGTTATGAAAAAAGAACTAAACAAAATGAACACAAAACAATCAGCTTTAAAAAAAGGGCTCGTAACTGGAAAAACCGAATGAAAAAAGAATGTTAACAACAAATACTTTTTCACACCCAACCCAGTTCTGCAGAATCAGAATCAACATTGAGTTTAAGCAAGCGAATGAGCCAATTGGAGTAAAATGTCATGCAGATTTAAATTTTTTCCACTTGTGACAAATTCAGCTATCGATTTTTTTTGCATGCTAGCATGCTAGTTAACATTCATGTCAGTCAGCTGTTGGCTCTCACGCTGGCCAATAGAATCTTCCTGCCTATTCGTGGCAGCCAGCTATAGGCTCTCACTCTGGCCAGTAGAAAATGGCTGCAAACTACATGAAAACTGCCGTAGAAGCATGAAAAAAATCGATTATTTCCACTATCGATGGGAGTTGGGAAATGCAAAGTCAGTTTTGGCCTTCCCACTAACTTGGAGCATGTGCGTGTAAATTTTGGTGCAAATCCATCAAAAATTGCAGCCATACATTTGTTACACACACAGACACACATCCTGCCTTTTATAGATAGAGATTTGCATTCCAAAGGTGGATTTTTTTTAATCCTCTAATGCTTACAGTATCCAGTGTTCATGGATATGCGAGTGGTGTAATGGATAGGAAGGAGAAATCGGAGATCTGAGTTCAAATTCCAGTCAGGTTCATTATATTCACTTATACACAAATACCCTTGGTAAAAGTATGAATCCATCTCCACCCCCTAGTTATAGGTTAAATGGCAGGATCTGGAAAATCCTTTTTATTCAAAAAAAAGGAAAAAAAAAAGATAATGCAATATTCAGTTGCAAAAAAAAAATTATTCTTACAATCTAAAATATGTTTTGGCTTTAAATAACCCATAAAGAAAGGAGTTGATAAGCCATAATAAAGCAAATCAATGATTCAACAATCCTAAGAGTTCTCCCATCTAATTACTGGCTAGGCTTAACACTGTTTAACTTTGGTGAAGGAAGAGGAACTGCTGATTTCAGTGCCATTTGTCTGTAAACCGAAATAACATAAACAATATACACTATTTGCCAATTTTCCAAATACTCCATTAATTGGTCTATCTAGATTCTGGAAAAATATGCATATGCTAGTCAAAGGATTATGTTCATGTAGTAATGTTTGTAAAAATGTTTTCATTCTAGTAAAGTATATTCTATTATCTGAAGAAGAAGAAAAATGCATAACAATGTTCTCTTTACAATAACAACAACAACACAATAGACAACTCATGGCAATATTCCATTACATGTTCTTAGATATCTTTCTGATTTAAATCTCTTAACATTTTACAGTTCTATAATAAGAGGCAAGGCTAATAATAATCTAACATTGGCCAATGAGTCAGTATCTTCAAGGCTGACTATCATAAAACAAAGACAAAAATACAAATCATCTGTTGATTGGTTAGGTGCATCCTACTAATATTGTTAAAACACTGACATATTATTATTGCTTTATATTAAATAATTGATATATCTATTTTCTGGAGTTAATATACAAGAACTCAAGTGACTGCACTTTCTAATTTGGTGGTGTACTTATAAATAACAGAAAAAGATTGCACAAATGTGCATGTCAAACAGGTAAAAACAAAAACAAGAAGATTCATTGTTTTAAAGCATAGTGTTTATGGTTATTTTCACTTTAATTATATATAAAAACAATAAAAAATAACATTTTAACTCTTTTAGGTTACAAAAAGAAAATAAGGAAATAAAATAAATATTGTTTACTGACATTTAAGGGTTAAAAGCAATGTAATATTTAGACAAAGACAATCAAAACACAACAAATTTATTTTAGGAAAAATAGCTGTCTTTGTTACTGAGAAATATGGTAAATTATACACATTTTTTTAAATTAATAAAGTCATAATGGATGTGTAAAATATATAGTGTCAATTTCTGATGTTAAAATTTTAAAATTATTTAAAATAAAATATTTCTTACCAACGACAAATACAATGATGGTGTCCTTCAGTGGATTGGCTGAAAAATAAAGCAAAGAAGGCAAATTAACATGCAGTTTGCAAATTATTCACATAATTAACACGCAATTAACATGCAAATTAATGGTTTGCAAATTTCTTTTCAAAAACATTAAAAAAAAAAAAAAACAGTATGAGGATTAATTGTTTTCTGAGGGGAATTCAAACTTTCATCTGAATGCCAAAGTATATTAACCAAAAACATTGATAAAATTGTGAAGAAAATTTAAAAAAACAGTCAAACACAAAAATGTGTGTAATAATGACCACAAACTTAGAAACTATTTTTCCTCACCTAACAATAGCAAGTAAAAATTACAGTAAAAAAAACCTTTTGGTGATACATTCTTGCTTCCAAATAGTAGGATAATTTTTTTACTTTCACACTACTTAAGTGCAACTAAGAACTTCTAGAGGAAAAATGAAACATTAAGGTGGCAAAATGGTCAGAGATAACTCCTAAATACTATCAAAATATTATTTACAACCAGATTATTGTCCTCATATTTGCTGTTGTTATCACAATGTTTCAGCCATTATGTCCCCTGACCTTCATCAGGTGAGTGCAGATCCAGATAACCTTCAGGGAATTTCAAACTGAACCCTTTATTTAAGGGGCGGGGGGGGGTCAGATTCTTTTTGTACTGCTGGTCATGTCTAAGAATATCTCATCTACATATTTAGAAGTGCTCAGTTATTGCTTGCCTGGTTTCCATTAATCCTAAGTGTACACTGACCAGGCCAGGAATTGAACACAGGATAACAGTTTCATTTGTTCATGAATTTGGTTACCTAGTAATTGTGAGTTCAATCTCTGAGCCTTGGACTCAATGAAAATGGGGCTTGCAATAAGTGAACAGTACTACTAATAAGAAGAGTTATCCCTAGACATGGTCAGTGGAATGAGAATAATCTACCATAAATAAAGAGTGTGGTTCAAAATTCCTTGAAGGTTAATCTGATTGACAATGATGAAGGCTGGAGAGCATAACAACAATAAAGATGAGGACAATAGTCTGCATGTAAATAATAATAACTCTTCATCCTAGAAATTCAGACAGAAGCCATCAAGATAGTTTCAAATTTTCCTAATGTTCTGTGTGACATGGATGTCCAGAACCTGGTCTATATGTGTAGGAATATCCCTTTGACTAATGTTGCCAACACTGAAGAAACACCAATGTGTCATATCCAATATGCTCAGTAAATCTCTGAAAGCACTATCCTACTTCTAAAGACCTACATCCAAGCTCTTTCAAATGGCTCTAACTGAACAAATCAATTTTGCATGCTTTTCCCTGGCCCAATACCTGCTTGTACTGGACCCTTTCACCAAACTCAACCTTACTGCAGCATGAGTCATTATCTAAAGCTCAAAGATAAAGAAAATGCACTGGTAAGAGAGTTTCTATGCTAAAAGATAACTAAAGACTTTGAAAAGAATATTTCCTACCCTTGGGTATGCATATAATGTACCCAGGTCAAAATCAGAACTGTCTTTCAGAGTGCTGCAGTTTTATTTTCCCTTTCCCACTTCACATGTATCTTTTCTTGACAGTAACTACTATTGCAGACTAATTAAGTAGTTTAATATATTTAGTTCTCATTAGGGATCCAATTACTGTAGCCTTATGTCTGACTCTGCTGAACTTAGCAAATTAATAACAATTACTTTGCCATAAAGCAGTGGTTAGCAGTTACCATCTCATAAACCCAATATTACTGTAATTTTGATTATCATAGGTGCTCCACCAATAATGGCTGTTTACCAGATGAAAGTAAGGTTCATAAATAATTATTTTCTTTCTTGTATATTAAAAAGAGAAAGACTTTATTACTAAAAATTTGTGTGAATTTAATCAATGGTTACATGTAAACAGTGGCGGCATCCTAAATTTCCAGGAACTGGTTCTATAAAGGCAAGTAATCTTTAGGAACCTATTCTGCTTATTTTCTTTTCAGTGTGAGAATGGAAACAAATCACTTTATAGCATAAAAAAAAATTAAACCATTTTGATAATTTAATAGAAAACAGTTATTTATTTAAGATATTTCCAGATTGAAATTCTGTTCTCATCATATTTCTGTTCAGAAGTATGATGCTTTTTGACTCTAGTGTCATCAGCAGTGCTATAGTTTCTTAGCCATATTCAAACTGAATCACTGTAGTCCCAAAGATCCAATGGAAAATCTAACTAAAAGATGTGCCACATTTTTAACTTCAAATACGGTAGGGGTGTGTGTGTCTTTTAGACTTCCAATAGACACATATGCGAGCATGATGTAATTAACATTCTACCTATGCCATTGGCTATTAATATACAAGATTATTTTTGGATAATCCAACAACCGGTTTGCTAAGCTTTTATAATTTTAGGAATCAGTTCATGTGAACTGGTGCAAACTGGTAGGATGCCACCATTTCATGTAAACAAAAACAAATTTCCTGATAAAGTACACAATACTTTCCCACAATATTAAGCGGCAACTTCAAATTTGACAGACTAGCATCTGACAATTCAAGTAGAAAAGTAAACAAAAAGTCTTCATTTTTTTCCCTGACTCTTCTGCTTGGGATGCTTCATAAACAGACTCTTGAAGATTAATTATCAGTTAAAACCTCCTACATCCTAAGAATTTTGAGAAGCTTCAACCATATGTCAGCTTTCTAACTCATGAACTTGTGAATAAACAAGAAAAAATATACCACTGGTTAATGAGCAACTGAATTATTCTGAAGAGAAGACATCTCTCTTTTTCCACATGGATAAGCAAACTTCTAACCTTGACAAAAGATTATTTTCCAAGTTTTGATATTTGGGAAGTTTGAACAACTTTATGATGAATACCAGTGACAAAAAAAAAAGGAAGAAAATTGATGGGATGATTTATGTATGGATAAATTATAAAAACAAATATTTTAGTATAAATGAGGCTAAATCAAAAATTAATGGCAATTTCCATACAACATATTTATTTGCATTGATGAAGAACAAATGGATATGTCACTTTTCAACATAGTCCTCCTGCATGGTGATGCACTTCTGGTATTGTTTAATGAGTCTCTTCATCCCTTCCAAAAAGAAGCTTTTCTGTTTACTCATGAAGCCATATCTACACCGCTTGGTTGTTTGGGTACCCAATGTGCACAAACTTTACAGAACCTCAAATCATCCTGCACTATGGCTTGTTTAGATCCATAGCTGATGCCCACAATTGTCACTGCTTGTGCTAACATGATTGGTCATTCTTCCCTGATCAAGGCATTCACCCTCTGGATGCGTTCTTTTGTGAATGATGCTGATGGCAGACCAGATCAGTTTTCATCCAGTACACTTATTCTTCCTACTCTAAAGTGTTTTACACACTCTTACACCTTTCATTGATTCATGGAGCATGTGCCAACATCTAGTGATTAATTTCCACATGTTTAACTCTCTCTGTCCACAGAAAGTGCACTACTGCACATTGTCCCTCAATGGTGCAACCACTGAACAGAGAGTTCATATGTCTGACTTCATTGCTCCCAGCACACAACTGGTGTCAAATATCAGCAACTACTTGTTTTTACTGTGCAATTTCAAAATTACCTTTACTTTCTGATTTACCATTGTATTTCTTTAAGAATGACATTCTTTGTAAAGAACCATGATTTTATAAGTTTATCCTGACCTTTGTAAATTCCATTTGTAAATTAGTTTGATCTCTGATTGAAATCTACTGATTAAAGGCAGTGGGAAAACAGACTTACTTTATCAAAAGATCCCATTCACCATTTGTAAAAAGAAAAAAAAAACAAAAATTGTTATTACATTTTATTTTTCTTCTATGAAATTAATATGCAAAATGAAATTAAAACTTTATTATCCAAAAAATAATCACAATAGTGATGAGTTTCAATTGGTGCTCCAACTGCGTTAATTTAAGCATGCTGCTAGATAGGCATCTAGGTCCCACCTGTTTACTATTGAAATAGTTATATGTAACTGCCACTTCTACTCCAACAGTTTCTTTTCTTGCACTTCCCACCTTTCTTCCATTTACTTGCTTCCCTGATAACTACAATCTTCAAAAAATTTCAATGAAATTTCACTTGCCATCTTCTATCTTCCTGAATCCTGTTCATCTTTTGTCCTTTCCTCAATCTTCTCAGTTTTTTCTTTTACTTTCACTCCCTGTAATCCCCTGCATACTAGTGACATTCCTGTCTTGCTTGAGGTAAAATGATTACAAAAACAACAAAACTAAAATGCAATAATAAAATTAAAGAAAATATTAAATTTAAGTTTCATTATTTTAAATGAATTTAATACACTGATATTATTTGAAAAGTAAAAGAAAATATAAGTAGTCAAGTAAATACAAACAACAAAAAAATTTTAGTATTTCTAAGTTAATTTCATCCTCTGTTCAGAGAACAGAATTGTGGTCTATTGAATTTTCCTCCCTATTTCAACATAGAAAACTCAAGCTGCAGCACAGGATTTACTTATGAGCTGTAATCTTTCTTTTATGGATGTTTCATTTAGTTTCTAAACACAGCCAAGACATTTTTCAAATGAAGCTTATTTAATTAACAAACTGAGTAAAAACTTGGCAAAGAATGAAATTATTACAACACAGTATAGGAAACAAAAGAAATATACTAACAATCTATTCTACCATGAAAAGCCCCCCCCCATTTAAAATGACTAAAGTAATCAAAAATAAAATTTCTAAAGTAATAAGAAAAACTGAATAAAAAACTTACAAAATATTCCTTGTCTATCATATTCAATGAAAGACATGCACACACACAGACAGATATATGAGTGTACAGGGTGCAATGGATAAATTGTCATCTAAATTATGCAAAAATGAAAATAACACTGACACCTCATTTTAAGAGATATTAACTGACACAGATATATTTACCAAAATTACACAAAAATATCTTGAAATACTAAAGAGTAAATTTATTGAATGAAATGGTCATTGCCTTCAGACATGGCCTCCAGACAACTTTAGAATCTCCTGGAATTCTTCTGGATGGTCTCCTTGTTTAAGTTGGTGAATGCTGCCATAATCCTTGACTCCAATTCATATTTGGTGTTACAAGGACTTTTGTTGGTCTCCTACTCAACTGTGCCCCACACATAATAATCAAGGGTCTGCAGTCTGAGGAAATAAGTGGCCAGATAGTTATGACTTGGTTCTCTTGCTTGTGTGGCATGGTGCAGAGCCCTATTGCCAGACAGAGTCTTCCAACAGCCACCATCTTGATCCAGGGTGGGGCTAACACCTTGAGGCACTTGATATAGTCCTCTGTATTGAGTCCAAGGCCCTCACCAACAAATTTGGCAGTTCTTTTCTTATCAGAACAATCAGAGTGAGTTTTCCAAAGTGCCTTCATAATCACCATTAGACTCATCCAACTCTCTAAATTCTCTGCACTGTCCTCAGATTGACACCAAACACTCTGAAATGTTTATATTAGAGCTTCCAGTACAAATGCCAGGCAGTACAGCATGCTGTTTCCAAATTTCTCACAGAGTGAATTGCATCATGGTGCTCTTTTTCTTACAGACTGCACCCAACTGGCCCTACTATACTGTGCAGGTGACAAAATCAAAAATAAACAATGCACATACATTAAATTAAAAATGTAAAAATATCTCTTTAAACCACAAGGTTGACCTATAATGGATTTTATGCTTATGGATGAGTTTATGAATATTTTCAATATTTTCTGGCATTTTTTATGTCAACTGGTTACCCTAAACACACATCAGCTTAAACTAACACTTGATCATGCCACTCAAAAACTTATGGTTGACTTAAAGAATGTTTGCCAAAAGCCTGAGGAAGCATTTTGAGTTTCATGCAAAATTTGATGCAGTCATATTGCTTGAATTTGTCAATCATTGTAAATATCACAGAGCCATTCCAACAATGTATTATGAAACCTTGTATAATAACTAAACATGAATAGATAGCATAAAACAGACTGCTTCAGTCAGCTGGGTATAAATGAACATTACTAGTGTGTGCATTTCTATTAAACAGTACAATCACAGCATGTACATCTCAGGAACTTACCAATGCCATCTTATACATATACCTCTAAATATGTTATGAAAAGTATCTTTGTTAATGTGAACATATAGAAAGTTTATATATTTTATAAATAATGGTTATAGTAGATGAGAGTATCAATTTAACTTATACATGTTCTCTAGTCTGCTCACTTTATCAATAGTAACATTGATTCATAGATGACTAGAAGTCAAGCAAAATAAATAGAGCAATTAGAGAAATAGAGATTTACTGTGCAAGAAAACTCTTGAAAAGTTCTCTTAGCTTTTGCTATTATAATGTTGTAACAGCACTTTTTTAACTCTATAAGAAAAAAAATGCAGAAAATTTTAAACGTTACAAGTTCCAAATAATATATTTCATATATCATTATAAATCTGGCTATCTTTCCTATTCAAATAGTCCTCTTGGAAATATACAATGATTCCAGTACATCTTCCACACTTCAATAGCACAATGAAAATCCTTTGAACACAAGTCATCTTGAACCAACAATTGACCAGCTTTGAAACATACATGCCACTTAAAAAAATTGTGTCTGACCTAAAGAATGTTCACCAAAAGCCTGAAGAAGCATTTTGAGAGTCTCAGTAGCAGATTTTCTGAGTTTCATGCAAAATCTGATGCAGATATATTGCTTGAATTTGTCAGTCATTGTAAAGATCGCAGAGCCATTCCAGCACAGTATTATGAAATCTTGTATAATAACTAAACATACCAACACAACATTACAAACCCTTAAATAAAATATTAATACAAGCAAATCATTTAAAGCCTATTTGTAAATCAACTCAGTAGTCTGGTTACAAATGAGGGTTAGCTTGCAAGTGTTTCCATTGAAAAAGTGCAATCATAGCTCGTAGAGTCAGGGAATTTTCTGATACTACTTTGTGTATTGCACAAATGTACATGAAAAGATTTGATTAGTTATTTAATTAATTATTCTTTGAAGATTGTGATTTTGATCTTTAATCAGGACAACCATTCTTTGCCTTGCTACTTATAGCTTGACTAAAATGGTGGAAGAGAAAGCTACATCGGCTACCCATACTTAGCTGTTTTTATACTTGCTGTACCATCCACACAGCAGAGGAGAGAGATTAATGAAATTCCTAACCCAGTAAACCTTCATACATAAATAACAACTGGTAAATCCCAGCAGATGCCTCCTGAGAAACAGATGTTGTCAAAGATTACAAACAGAGAAATGGATTCAGTCCAAAAGAGAAAAAAACAGAATTCTTTCCTCCTTCCTACTATAACTTCATTATCTTTTATAAATTCATCTAAGGAGAAATTTTGACTGTGTGTCCTCACCTTACATCAGTAGAACAAAACAGTCTGTATCATTAATCAAATTTTATTGCTAACAAATAGTATTTAAAGCATAAGCAGTAACATTTAATTTGCATAACATTTTTTAAAATCATATTTATCATGTTATTTATTTGTAATGAAAAATTTTAAAACATAAAATAAAATAAAATATAAAAAAATATAAATATTAAAATTTTCATATATAAGTAATATTTCTGTTATTTTAATTCATTGTGTTTGTATAAAAAGAATTTACATATAATTTGTCAAAAGACAGTCATAAGTTAACAAAAATATAGTGTTTACATTTAAACATAATGTAAAATAAATCTGATGTTAGCTTGTAAAAATAAATTTTTTTCAAAAAGAAATTAACATGAAGTAAATATTTTTAAAAACATACTAAAATTTTTAAAGAATTTTAGTCATGGCATTGTTATTATTTAACAATCTTATTTCCTTCGACATTCATAGCAACCATTGCTATCATCTGACAAATGGAGTGGAAATGAAGAAAATTTACAGTATTATCTAAAGTCAAAATCTGTTTAATTAGATTTTATTAAAACTGTACAGAATTATTTAAGCAAGTAATAAAATAGTTAGTTTGTAGAATTAATTATTATTATTAATAATACAAGCACAGATTATTTTGAATTATTATTAATAATTCAATGTAAATAAAATCAATAACTTTTTTCACATTTAATTGCAGAAAAAAATTATTTCAACAAGTTAAACTGATTGATTGTAGAATTAATTATTATTATTAATAAAAACATTAAGAAAAATTCTATTACAACTTACTTGTCTCTGTAGGACAGGTGTCCAGCTAGTTTTATAAAAATTAAATTAAACCTAGAGAAGGAGGAATGTTTTGTCAGGCAATATTATGCAGAGTAAAAGAAAGATTTTCAAATATTATATTAATATTTGTTTTCTAAAACCTTAAGACACAATACCATTATAACTTGTTTTGTAATTGAAATTTTTATATATTCTGCACTGATGTCAAAGGTTAAAGTTCAAGGAAAAACTTGGATTTTAAATGCTGATTTTCAAGGTGGGAAAATTTCTCTCCACTCAAAAGAAGATTATATTATGCTAAGTGAATTGCCCCTTATTTGGGGGTGGGGTGTTGATTGAAGCAATCGATGTGCAGGTAATGTAATGCTTAATGACTTGGAAAGAGAAATTAGTAAACAGAATTCAAATTCCAGTCATGTTCATTACATTCACTTTCACACAAATACCCTTGGGAAAAGGTATGAATCCATCTCTTCTCTCCCCGGCTATAGGTTAACCAGTGTTTCCCAAACTTTTTTTGTCTGGTCTGCATTTTTGGAATAGAAATTTGCTCATGACTCACCAAATTTTATGTGATAAAATTTACATATAAAAACAGAGAGAGGGTTAAAAGGAGATATCCATAGATTCAATGTCAGAACATTATCATTAACAACTCTCTTCATTTTGCAGACCCTAGTTAACTATATTCTTAATACTTGATATAATGCAAAAATATCACATTTATAAAATCAGTCAATAATTATTTGTAAGTATTTATACTGGGACTCATGCATGCAATTACAAGTAATCCATAATATTTTAAATTTTGAAATCATGTTTATTTTTGGCATATGAATTTTTAGAAACTGTTTCTAAATCTTTGATTGCCTTTTAATCATTTCACCTCATCTGTTATCCTCTTCCACCACATCACACCGTTTGGGAACCACTAGGTTAAATAGTAACGTAGACTGTTTTCTGTTCAACTTTAGTTGACAAGCAGTCTAAAAGAAGGACAAAGCTGAATTCAAAACCAGTTGGAAATGGGGTTAGCCACTTCTAGTAAAAACCTATTTGTTACACCAGTCACGCCACGCATTTTGAGAGCTGTGGCCTCCTACTCTTCAATGGTGTCTACAGGACTTGAGTGTGGGAGAAAGCTTACAAAGCAAAGCTTAATAAATATCAAAATAATGAAATTTTGAATGCTGATTTCTAAGGTAGATTGATTTTCCTTACTTGCATTACTGAAGCAAAATAATATTCCTCCCAAAAATAAATCCAATTGTTTTTTTACAGTAATGTTCACCCTGTACAACGTCCAGGGGTCACTTGAGGTAGAGGGTTACGTTAAATGGTAGTTCATATGGATAGGAGGAGAAGATAATGGTTAATTCTAGACTTGAACAGGTTAAGATTGTAGTGATTGGGGAAACATCCTCTTGGGAGTCCGTTTCACAGAGTAGTGGTTCACAGGAAGAAGTTGTTTGAGTGGAACTTACTTCTTGCCAATGGAATACAGAGGGAATATGGATGGTTTGCTACTATGTAAGTGGCATGGCAGGACCGAGCCATGAAGGCTAGATCTGGTGGAACTGTAGTAACCTTAAACATAGTAGCAATAAAAGCCCAAAATAAACTTTGTATCAACAGCAGCTCTCACATATAAAAATATGTGAACCCTAAAGTAACTCTCTTTCTTCAAGGTTTTCCTCTTTTGAGTTGGTGACATGAACTTTTCATGCTGATGCTAAAAGGGCTGTGAATGCTACATCCATAAAACACCAATAAAATAAGTCCCACTATAACATATTCATGAACATTTTGTTGTGTATACAATTTATGTCTAACAAAAGAAACCCATGTTTTAAATTTTCCTTTTGTTAGTTTTGTTTTAATAAATGTTATCTTGCATTGAAAATCAATTGGTCAGTTATTTTGTACATGTACACTCTTCACCACCATTATTTCATGTACTACAAAATATTCCCATAAGAAACCTTACACATTATTGAAGTAGCTAATCACTAAAGAACCAAGGAATGTAGTTCCTGTGAGCACTTTTCATAGTATAAAGCAGTGAAAGACTAACCACATCTCACTTGTGAGAGAGAGGTTAGAGGGTGGAAAATAATTCTTCTCCAACAAGGATTTGGAAATGCTTTTGAACTCTATCAAGACTGGAAAGTGAGGACTAGGCAGCTCCCACCTAAATATGGCAACAGTACTCCATTTTTGTCTTGATCTGACTCTCATATAGTTAGAGGATAGTATGAGGGTACTAAGAGAAATTAATTAAACAGAAGTGTGTCATTGCAAAGAAATAGAAAGCTAATATCCCAGGTCGTTGCTGATGTAGTGAATTTGATACTCACCCATTATTTAACACTTATGAATATGTCACTACCATCTTATTTATTTGTTTGAACCCAATATGTCACCACCATTTTAGATAATCACTCTCCTGGGCTTTTTATCATTGACAATTCTAGTTTAGCCCAGCTATTGCTATGTTGACACCAATGAATCTGTCCATCACATCCTTGGATTCCGCTTCTATTGTTGCTATCCATGATTCCGAAAACTGCTAGCTTCACCAGCCTTGGATTATGTTCAGTAAATATTTCTGCTACACCAAGTCCAGTGCTTCTGCTATGTATTTAGAGATTCTTGATAAAATACAAAGAAAAATCTGCAATGTTATTGGTCCTGATCTGTCAGCTTAGCTTCAGTCACTTCTCCATATAAAAATATATCGTGTTGGCCAATAAAACAAGAATTAAATTGTTGATTCATTGCAAAAGTTACATGTCCACAAGGTATATTTAAAAATAGATTCAAACACGTTCAATTATATGATGTAATATTGTTTAATATTGGTAATCTTTCTTTTTTTTTTGTTATACCAATTTAGAGGATATTTCTTTTATGCAGATAACCAATAATAGTAAATACATCATCATAAAACTTCATTTTGTCACTGTTAATGGGGCATTCTGTAACAAGGATATGATCATCGACTATAATAGATGAGGTGGTGAACTTTATGGCATCTATTCCATATTGCTATAATTATTTCTCTGAAGGAGATTTTTAATAAATAGTATGTTTATCAGTAACAAACCATTAACTGTAAGTCTTAACAACTTTTATTAGGAATAATGTAACTAAATTATCATTCCATAAACATGAATTACTTTATCATTAATTCAAAAGTTTTTATGAAAATATTATGCACGATTTTAATAACTTCCATCCTTTTATCAATCCTTTCTATAATCATTCCTTCCTTCCTTCCTTCCCTCCTTTATCTGCTGCTTATTACTCACCTAGTTTTAGAATTTTCTTCATCTCTTATACAAATCTATTTATGAAGCATTGAGTGCATAGCCAAGTGGTTAGAATGTTAGAACGTAATGGTGGTGAACTTTATAGAATATATTCCATATTACTATAATTATTTCTCTGAGAGAGATTTTAATAAATAGTGTGTTTATCAGTAGAAACAAATAAAAACTTGTAATGCTGATATTGTAAGGTCTTGTATTATAATCTATAATCAAGTAATTGTTAACATACAGACTGATATAATGAAACCCTGGTTCTAAGAGAAGACTTCTTGTGGTTTCTACTCTAATATTTAAATTAGTATATCACTGTAACTACAAATTACCCTATCAAAACATGACAGTTGAATGATGCAGCCATATTTATACTTATTTCTATATTCTGTGTAGTCAGCAGTGTATGAGTGAGACCAACAGGGAAAGAAGACCTGTTCATGAGGAATAATGAATTAAACATTAGAGGTTAGGTTTTGACCTGTCTACAAGAGATATAATATTTCCCTAATGGATTCAAATCTATTCAAAACCTATGCACAGAATTGTTACTGTCTTATTTGAAGATTGAATTATCAAGTAATTATAATTCCACTCTAAAG